CACGCAGCCCTTCACGCGTGGAAACGCGCGGGCAGCGATCCACGGCGAGAGCGAGCCCTGCCTGCCCTCCCAAAACCCACCCCACGCACCAGAGGGGTTTCTTCTCGGTGCCATCACCCGGGAGATCCCCCTCCTTTGCCCATCCACTCCACCATATTCCAACCCCTCCATCATATCCCTGAATTTGCAAAACAAGCCCACCCGAACTGATGGATGTGGCGGTGTTCTGGCCCCACCGTGGCGCAGGTGCGGGCTCGGGGGGCGCCTGGTCCCCGCTCCCGACACACGTGGCTAGGGGCGGCCGGGCGGACGTCACCGAGCCCGAGGAGCTCGTATTTATAGCACGGGCGGGATGCAAGCATCCGGGGGCTGCCCGCGGATGTCGGGAGACGCCGAGCCCTAGGGGTTCGTTGTGTCTTTGGCGCTGGAGGGTGCGAGAAGACCCCCAGAGAGAACCCCCCAAATCCTGCTGGGAGCTTCAGGCACCCACTGCCGGGACTCCGTGTCCTGGGAAATGTGTTGACTGCTGCCAGCTCTGTCTGGATAGCTGGGAAAGGGAAAAACCTGCAGGCAGGTGGGGGGATACGCCATCTTCACGCTTCTATTTAAAACCTCAGGTCTTAATTTTTTGTTTTAATTCACCATAGTTTTCACTTCTGGCAGAGAGCTGAGCATGGAATGGTCTGGGATGGTCCTGAGATGCCGAGCTCTCCCTTTCCCACCTGCATGCTCTGGAATGAGGTGCCAAATGACATGAGTAATTGTTAAGCCAGGCACTCAAGTGACTCATTAGTGACAATCGCCACTGATTTATTTTTTTTTCCCAGCTGATTTCTCTGCTCTGATTTCCCTACTCCCTTTTTGGCCTTGTTTTTGGTTTGGGCTTGCAGAGATGGCAGCTCCAAGGTAGCCAGGTAGTCCCTTGAGCTAGAATTCAGCAAAAATAACAATAATACATTTTTTAAAATACTTATTTTGGGGCCAGATCGTGAACTTGATGGTTTCAAACAGCCCACAACCAACTCCTTTCCACTGCTGTCCTACCTGGCCCTCTCCTGGATGTAGGTCAGTTGGGAGTGGGAGGCCCTACATCACTGGATCCTCTCGTAATCTTCTGCCTTAACTGGTACATAAGCCTGAGCCCGAGGAGCCAGGATTTATCACAGTGCCAGCCAGGTGCCAGTCTGGATGTGTGATAGTCCAGAGTGTCACACAAGTGAAGCAAACTGCTGTCCTTGAGTTGTTTGGGAGTGGGGGGAAGGTGAAGTTTTCTGCAGAGGTCCCTGACCACTTCAATCAACCTTTCCTCTTGTTATCCTCCAGCTTTGGTAAAGCTCCCACATTTTTCCCAAGTATTTTTCCTGAGGAGCAGAGAGGCTGAGCCTGTGCCGGCATGGCAGGTATGGGGGGGGCTCTGGAGATCAGCATGGGCTTTACTGGCCATAATGTCATCTCATTAGTCACCAGTGGGGTGGTGGATATCCATGGCTGCAGGATTGGTGTAGCCAGTGAGGGCTGAATTTGATCCTTTTGGGTGGGCTGGTGACAGTTTCCATGGGAAATCCTTAACTTCTATGTAAAACTTGTCAGTTCTTGGGGTTACTTAGGAAGCCTCTGGGTTTTTCTTCATCTCTGGGCAGTGCCTGACACCAGTGAAACTTTTCCTTGCAGAAAAGGTGAACAACTTCCCTCCCCTGCCCAAATTCATCCCCCTGAAGCCATGTTTCTACCAGGACTTCGATGCGGAGATCCCGCCGCAGCACCGGACCATGGCCAAGCGGCTTTACTACCTCTGGATGTGTGAGTGGCTGTGGGGGAATGGCTACAGTGGGATTTGTTTGCCTCTCCAAAGGCTGCTCCTCTGGGAGCTGCCAGCTGAAAGGGCAGGGCAAGGTCAGGGGAAGCCCTTCTCCCCCTCCAAGCCTTGGTGTCTCCTGTTAAAACTCAGGAATGAGAGGTGGGCTGCAGCATCCCATGGATTCCAGCCCTTCCAACCTCCAGGATGGAGCTGTGGAGCTCAGTGTTCCAGGGTCATTGGTGGTTACACTGATGTCCTGCTGTAAGTAGGAGACGGCTCAGACTGGAGGGCTGGTGTGCCTGCTCTCCAAAACATGGAGCTTGAGGCTTCCCAGAGCTTGCCTGTTCCTCTTGCATGTCTCTGTGTGCCGTGCTGTGCTAACAGAGCTGTCACCAGCTTCCAGCTCTTCCAGCTATCCTGGATCTCTCTTCTTCACCAACCCTGGGCAGGGAACAGAGTCAGAGGGACAGGTCATACCCCAACATAGGTGGAAACATGCACAGCTCAGGGCAAGCTGGCACCAGCATTTCATTTCTTTTTAGAAGAACTTAGTTCCCTTATCAGGCATTTCCGCTGAACTTTGGAAGGATCCGTGGCCAGGGAGTGACTTGTGCTTTAGGGGCAGGTTAGGAAGAGCTGAGCTAACAGCACAGGGGTTGTGTGTTCCTGCTTTTGGCATGGCACCAGGCTGCCATCCCTGGGGCTGTGTCCTGTCGGGATGGTGACCCCAGAGTAGCTTCCTCATGTCATGAGGGTTTACTTGTTTCAGGCATGGGAGGAAAAAAAGCTGTGCACCCCCAGGAAAGCTCTCTTGGGGGTGTTCAATTCCCTCCCAATCCCAACCGAGATGTTCTTCCTCTTAATGTAACAGAGCTTGGTTCTTGCTTCTCAGCACAAGCACGAGCTCTCAGAGCCAGCCGCTGTCCCTTGGGTTTTGCATCTGGAGCTCTTCTCTGGGTCATATTCTCCCCACCAGCCCCTCAGACACCCATCACAGAGTGACTGGAAGGTCCTTTCATGTCCTTTAGGGCAGCCCAGGCAGCTGAGCTCCTTCCCTTGCCAGCTGCAGCTCTCAGGCAGGCAGCGGTGGGAGGGCTTTCGTTCTCGTCGAAATAATGAATCATTCTCCGAACTCGGAGGCGTCAGAAGGCAGCTGAGCCTTCTCTGCTTTGTCCTGTGTCTGCTGAGCTGGGATTCATAGTCAGAGCCCTTGTGTGGCCTGATCCCAAGCAGGGGTGGGCGAGTGAAATGTATCACCCCCTGAACTGGTGAGGCGGGGTCAGGAGTTCAAGATGTTGGCTCTCAGTGGTGCTCAGGGAATTCCTACACAAGCTCCTTCAGCAAAGATGTATCTGGAGCAAGCAAAAAACTTCATCACAATTCCTCCAGTTTCCTTATAAGTGGAAATGTGTTCTGGCTTGATTGGAGTGGGAGGATATGACTCCTGCCAATCTTCAGAGCCCTGGAGATGCTTAGGGAATTACAACTCTGAGAGATGATACATTGATTTTCCTCCTGTTACACTCAGCTAAGGCCTGACCCCATTTGGCCCAGCCAGCCTGGGAATGTGCTCCCAGCTTAATTTAAGGGAAGCCCAGCTAGGGCAGGACTCAGAAGCTGCATCCCTGGGGTTGGGGTGTCTCAGTGCCACCCTTGTGTCCGTGCTACTCTGCTCTGTGTGTGTGTGTTTGCAGTGAACAGCATCACCTTGGCGGTGAATCTCGTGGGCTGCCTCGCGTGGCTCATTGGAGGCGGCGGAGCTGTAAATTTTGGACTGGCAATTCTCTGGCTCATTCTCTTTACGCCCTGCTCCTATGTCTGCTGGTTTAGACCTATTTACAAAGCTTTCAAGTAAGTGGTTGCACCTGAGCCTGGCTTCTTTTTGCCTTGTTTTCCTTCGTAAATGGTCAGTGTTTAGCTTGGGGCATTGCCTGACTAATTGGGGGAATTCCTTTCTGTGCAGCCCTTTAGCTTTACTTTCTAACCTTCAAAACCAGAGTGTTTGGGATTTCCTGGGGGCCAAACCCCCCCATCAGGCGATGTAAGGACACTTTCTGTGAGCCTCTGTGCAGCAGTGGGGGACAATGGTGAGGATGCAGCTGGGCTGCCACTTTCCCTCTCGTCCCTGAGGCATCTTTTATATTTTTCCACGAATCCTCGAGGTGTTTGTACAGATCACCCATGGTGCTGAGGTCAATCCCGAAATCAAGAGTATTTATTCCCCATGTGGGGTGGTGTGAGCCGAGAGCTGTGTCCCAACACAGATGGCCTCAAGCCCAGCTGACTGAGCCATAGGGGGGGTCTGGTGCCCCGTGGCTTTCCCAGCTGTCCCTGGACCACCTCCAGCCTCTTGCAGTTTCTCCTTTGCCTTTAATTTTGCTTTTCATCACCCTTCTGCTAAACCACAGCCAGGTCTGAAACGTAGGAGCATCTCCCTTCCCTTGGAGTGCAGCAGGGAGGTGCAGGAGTGACTGAGCCTTCTCTTGCAGGACAGACAGTTCCTTCAGCTTCATGGCCTTCTTCTTCACCTTCATGGCCCAGCTGGTGATCAGCATTATCCAGGCAGTGGGGATCCCTGGATGGGGGGTCTGGTAAGGAAAGTGCTGCTGTGTTGGTCACTGTGGTATTTTAGTGTCCTAACTGGTTCTCTCCTTGGGGCAGATGGTTTGAGGAGCTGGGAGGGCTGCCGGCAGTTTGGGAGAGCTGGTGAATGAACCGGCTGTTTTCATCTCCTTGCAGTGGCTGGATTGCAGCAATTTCCTTCTTTGGGACCAACGTGGGCTCGGCTGTCGTGATGCTCATCCCCACTGTGCTCTTCACAGCTATGGCAGTCTTCTCCTTCATTGCTCTCACCATGGTATGGCAGGAAAAACAGGGTTTCCACGTTGCTTTGGGGGGCCCTCGCTGCCCCCCCCGGAGCTCCGCGCCAGCCACAGGCGCTCAGCCCCTCCGGATTTTCCCTGCAGGTACACAAGTTTTACCGGGGCAGCGGCGGGAGCTTCAGCAAAGCGCAGGAGGAGTGGACCACGGGGGCCTGGAAGAACCCCCACGTGCAGCAGGCGGCCCAGAATGCGGCCATGGGGGCGGCGCAGGGTGCCATGATGCAGCACGAGACGCAGTACTCGGCCACCCCCAACTACACCTACTCCAACGAGATGTGAGCAGCAGCGGGACTGTCCTCGGGAGGAAGAGCTGGGGGGGAAAAAGGGAGGAGAAAGCCTGAGCCGAGTTTCTGCAGCTGTCTCAGAAAGTCAGAGTGTACCATAATGGTGGTTCTTTTCCCATCTTTGTAACGAGATCCTTTGGGATTTTTTCTTTCCTTTTTTTTCCTGTTTTTTTTGTCTTGAGCTCTTCTTTTCTCCTTTCTTTTTCATTCTGAGGAGGCCGTGAGTTGACCTGCAGGGCTGTTGTTGTGCGTGGTAGTCAGTGTCCATTCATGTGTCTTCTTTTTCCCTGTGGAATAGTGTACGGTGGTGGTTTTTTAATTACTGTGGTGATAGGTGTACGTTAGAACCTCATCAGCCAAAAGCCCCCCCAAGCTCCCAAAAAGGGAAAAAGAGCAACCAGCACCCATCTTCCCTCTTGGAATAAGCCCTGAACAGGTTTTTGATGTGTGTGAGTTTTCTCTTTCAGTTGGTAGTGTCCAGCCACTTGCCACTGTCTCAGCAAGGGCAAGCAATCTTGGGAATTCTTTTTTCTTTTGCTTTTTAACTAGCAGGTGGCTGGCTGATTTAGCATTAAAGGAAAAAAAAAAAAAAGGGAAAAAAAAAAAAGATAAGAAACCCTCAATCCTGCTGTTGATATGCTGGAAGCCAAGAGATTCCTAATCTACTCCCTGGCTCAGGATCTACAACTTCTCTCAGTGTGTGGTGTTGTGAGTAGTTTACACTTTGACGTGGAGGACCAGTGTGTGTGCGTGCGCGTGTGTGTGCATTGGGGAGCAAGGACAGGTTTTCCCTGCGGGATACAACCATCCCATTCCAGATTCTGCATCCTGAGTCTGGTTTTTTTAAAGGCTTCTGTTTTGAAAAGCAGCTGTAATACCAACAAGAGTGTTCCTCAGAGGACCTACGCTTGGGCAAGGCTGCGGGTCAAATCTTGCCACTCCGTATCCCAGCACATCCAAACAGTCTCGCTGCTCATGGAAACAGCCAGGCCAAGTTTTGTCCCCGTTAGCTTTGGAGGTTTGTGCTAATTTAAGTCTCTTAAGGAAACCTCCAGGCTGGAGGTAAGGACTGCTCACTTGCGCTCCTAAAAAGCGTGGCGGGATGTGGCCGTGTGTTTTCCTGGTGCAGAAATCCCTGTCAGGCCCAAATCCCTGCCCAGTTTGGGGATGCTGGACATTAAATAATGATCCTGCACTCTAGCAGGAGGCAGCTGAGCTCAAACCAATACTTCTTGGGGAAGGTGACTGGCACACTCTGGAAAAGATTATGAGTGGGAGCATAAATGGGATGGATGCTGCAGGGCAGGAGTAGGGAAAGCTACTTCTCCGAGATGCTTTTCAACTCTAAATGCACTTTAAATAAGCCAAATTTTTCTCCAAGTCCTCGAAAAGCAGCCCAAACAGAATCCAATCCAGCCCCTTGGCTCCAGTATCTCCTGCCTGGCACAGGGAAGGAGCTCAGAGTGCCACCAGCCAGGACTGTGCGAGTCCCCAGCCCCTTATCTCACCCTTCCAGCCCTCCAGTGATGCTTGGATGTGACCCCTGCCCCTGAGAATCACCCCAAAAAGGATCTTCTCCAGCAAAGCACACCAAGACTAGTTTCCTTTTTAAGGGTATCACTTCAGTCATTCTGCAATAGGCAGTCGTCTCTTGACCAGACTAAAATGCAGCTACTGATAAAATGCCTGTCTGTGTGTGTGTGTGTATATATTTATGTATAAAATGTCAGGAGAAAAGTAATCCTTTGCTAAGCCTATTATGTACTTAATCAGGTTTAAATATTGTGCAATCCATTTCTAGCTCGCCTAAAACTTACTCTGCCAAACCACGTGCTCTGTCATCCGTGTCTGAGAAATGATGGATTAAGTGACTTCACCTCTTGCATTGACAATAAGATACATCAATAATAATAATAACTGTAATGAGCTGTAACTAACAGGCATTGCTTCAGCACCTAACCCTCCTCTCCAATGTGTCTCCTGAGTGTGTGAGCTCTGAAATGTTGCCCCATGGCTCCAGCCAGGTGGGGAACTCCACTCCTTGTTCTCACCTTGGTTATTTGTAAGCTGTCCCTGCTCCAAGTGGGGCTGATGTGTGATCGAAGCGTGGTGCTCCTGAAGCCCACAGGGTGGGAGAGGTGGGGTGCTGCTGCACAAGAGACTTCTCGAGATGGAACACCCCTGGGGTCTTCCTGAGGTCTCCCTGCTGCCTTCCATGTCCTGCAGCCAGCAAAGCAGAGCCCTGTGCCTGTTGCTGTCCTTGCTGCTTGTTTGTAGCCAGTATCAGAGGGATGTCCAAATAACTGCTGCTTTTGAGCAGAATCTGCAAAGGGCTGGGCACCACGTGCTGCCCCAGATCTGCCGTGCCCGCATAATGATGGAATGATCTGGGTGGGAAGGGACCTTACATCTCATCCAGCAGGAACACCTTCCACTATCCCAGGGTGTTCCCAGCCCTGGCCAGCCTGGCCTTGGACACTTTCAGGGATGGGGCACAGCTTCTCTGGGCACCCTGTGCCAAGGCACAATTCCTTCCCAGTATCCCACCTAACCCTGCCCTCTGGCATGGGAAGCCATTCCCCCTAGTCCTGTCTCTGCCTCAGACAATGAATATTCTGTCCTTTAAGCCACTTTTCCCTGCCAACTCTGCATGCCTGCCCTGAATCCTGTAGGAAAGGTTTCGCTCCTGGTCTCTAACACTTTCCTAGGCTCAGATACCACCCCTGTCACTTGAGGGGCCCTCAGACCCTCTCTTCGGCCCCGTTTCCCACACGCCTTCTACACCGAGCTTTTCTGGCCTTTGTTACGTTCCAAAACCTTGTCACGGACCAGAATCCCCGTTAAGACTTCTTCCTGAGCAGCCTGAAGCCACCCGCTTGCCCTTAGCGAGATCCCTCTCGTGGGCACGACTGGGGCACAGAGGGGCACAAAGTCCTCCCGGCCGGCAGCGCAGGACCGGGCCCTCAGGGGTCGCCATGACACCGCTTCCTCCGGCCCGCGGGGTGCGCGGGCGCGCGCTGCCCGCACCAATCAGCGCCGTGGGCGGGAGCAGCACGCACCAATCAGCGCTGTCCGTGCACCAGTTCCCGGCACCCCCCGTGGCTGCCGGGCTGTGACCCCGTTCCCGCCCGGTACCCGCGGCCCTCAGGCCCCTCACGCCCCCCCGGCCCTACCTCGAACGGTACCGGAGCGCTGTTTGGTGCCTTCTGAGAGCCCCCGGGGCTTCTCGGTGCTGCTGTGAGGCCTTCTGGGGCCGAAATCAGCATCGCTGCCGCATTAAAAGTCGATTTCATTAACCCTTGAGGGCCTGTAAATTGCTTGTTTTCTGGTGGCTGCTTCCCCACAGCTGTTTGGGTAAGAGGAGAGCGCAGCCCAGCACTTTTTTATCGTTATATTACGTATCTTATTGTACATACAGCTTTTATTATAATCTTCTGGCATTATTTTATAGCTTTATTTGCCGCTTTTTTAAGATTTGTGCCATTTTAAAATTTTCACCTTTTTACCATTGTTTTACCATATTAATCGTTATTTTCCTATTTTAATAATTGTTTTATAATGTTATAATTTTTAACTCTTTTATCATTACTTAATAAGAATTTTGAAAGTTTCCTACTTAAAGATTTACATTTTAATACCCAGGCTTTAATTTGTGGATCCTTCGGTGGAGTTAATTGTGGAAACATCCTAAGGATGCTTTAAGTATATAATAGTTTTTATTATTAATAAATATATATGATTAATAAATATATTATGATTAATAATAATCTGATTTTAAGTAGATATAGGTAAATATGTGAAGCGTGGTGTAGCATTAAAATCTCTCAGCCAATGTCCTGCTATATTTCCTCAGCTCTTAATTATCCTTGCTAATCAGCAAAGCTGAAATTGGGCTTTTGGTGGAAGGTGTCCCTGCCCATGGCAGGGGATGGGATTTGGTCACTTTAATTTCCCTTCCAACCCAAACTAGGCTGTGATCCTGTGAAATTCCTCTCTCCAACCTCTGAGTTGCTCCCAAAAATCAGAGTAGCCTGTCTCCATCTTCTTCTTTCCACCCAAAGTGATTCCAAGCAGCTTAGTTTGAACAACAAGGACGTCACTAAAAGGAACAAACTTCGCTGGGTGCAGTGATTTTTCAAGAACTGGATTTACTCTGCGCTACTTAATCGTTAATTGATTATATGTGAGATACTTGTGGTGATTTCCCCACCAAAACATTAATTTTTGATTTTTATCAGCAGCATAGGGAGGTCAGGAAGAAGCAGCAGACCTGAATTAGAGCTGCTAGGGAATAACTTTTAGTGCTTATTTAGGAACACAGTAAGAAACAAGATGGTTGTGCATACAATGAGTCCCCACATTTTTAATTATTAAGACATCCCTCTGCATTTATTAATCACCAAAGAGTGCAAAGGGAAAGCAACACAGCAGGGGGTTGTTTGCCTTTACAGAACTTGGTGTTCTTATTTTTTATCCCAAATTGATTTATTTATATGTCTTAAATTCTTGGCTGTGCTCAACATGTGAGAGTCTTAATTTTGGGGGCATGAACTTTACGGGGTGCTTTTGTGGCCTCTCTGCTCAAGTTTTAGGAGTCTGTTTTCCCAGTATGGGAGAGAAAAATGTAATTAAACATTGAGCTGCCCTTAAAGTTCTGCTGGTGCTTGAAATCCTGGTGGGATGACCCAGAGTCATCCCATCTTTCTGAATGACTCTCGCTCCTTCAGAGTCCAGGTCAGATTTCGGGAATGTGTTGGGATTGGAGCTGTACTTGGAGGCTCTGTTAGCCCAGTGTCTTTGTTTTCCTGTGCTTGCCTTGCACAGTTGGATTGGAGCATGGAGCCCATCTCCCTGCCAGAACCAGGCATGTCTGCAGGAAACAGCTCATCTGTGGCACAGCAGAAATTCCATGTGCTGGTGGGAGTGACTGGAAGCGTGGCTGCCCTCAAGCTGCCCCTGCTCGTGTCAGAATTGCTGAAAATCCCTGGGGTGAGTGAAGCTGTTGGTGGAGCTTTGTAAAGTTGGAGTTACCCTGGTTTTGAGGAGAGATCACATGGCTTCTGCTGAAATGACAAGTTCCTCCTAGGAGGCCCTTTGGTTCAAAAATTTTTGTGAGGAGGATTCCAACTGTTTTTAATTTTTTTTTCCCCTTATCATTTCATACTTGAAAAAGGCTTTGCTTTGGGTGGTTTTTTTTTCCTGGAGTTTTTCCTTGTCAGTCAAGTTATCAGATGTAGTTGCAGACAGAAGTGATGCTTCTGAAACTTGAAATCTCCAGGCTATTGCAGTTTTCCATGGGTGGGATGTGGCTTTTCCAAATGTGATCCAGAAAGGGAAAATAGACCTTGTAAAACCAGAAATGGAAAACATATATGTGTTTGTGTAGTATTTTTTTACTCTTTGTTGTCTGGAGTAACAGAGATGCCCAGCAGAGGCCACTGGTGACTGATCAGGAATGGAAATGTGCTCTTTTCTGCTGTAGGATAAAGTTAAACATAGAAAACTTTAAGGTTTTTAGAAATGGAGGAAATATTTTGGAGCAGTGAAAGAAGAACATGGCAGGGGCAAGGGGGTGCACTGAAATCTGCAGATTTATTGATTAGAAAAATATCCTTTGGGATGGCTTGGGAGGCTGTACCTTGTGGGTGCATTGAGTAGAAGCTTGATGTTGATATCCAAGCTGGAAAGGGTGCTGGAGGTGAGACGTGTGGCAAAGTGAGGCCTCAGTTAATTTATGACTTGACCTGATGTGATTATTGAGGTCAAAGGTCCCAGTGTGAAATAAGAGAGACAAAGAAAAATGACATCAAGGAAAGGGGTGACCAGCCAGAGATAGAGATCTTCTAATCCTCTCCCTCTTGAATTACCTTGGCAATTGTCCTTTTTCCTTTGCTCCTGGAGCTTGGGACATCCTTCTGTGCAGGTGACAGGCAGAATGCAAATGACCCATGGTAGGAATTTGGCTCAAACCCTTTACTTCTCTCTGAGTGTTGGTTTCATAATCAAAAGCTGCAGACAGCTGGACTCAAACTCTCTGTGCAGCTGCAGAGGTCTGTGACATCCAGTGCAGACTGTGTGGCCACTCATTTTAGGGCAGAAAGAGCAAAAGTGGGTCATCCAGGAGTTTATAAAAGCTCCTTAAACAAAGTTATTTACTCATTTCTGCTATGATTTCAAGGCCTGCCGAGTCGGTGTAACATGGAGTTTGTTGAGTCCTGCACCAGGCTGTTGCATCAATTTCTTTACTGCTGGAGCAGAACTTTACAAGCAGGCAGGGCAGGAGCAGAGGAAAGGCTTTGATACCAGAGGAGATGTGGTCACAGGCTTGCAACCAGAGTGGTTAGTTTAAATTGATGTTTTGCTTGAAATGGTCTGTGGTGAGCAACTTGGCAGAGTGATTTTGCTGCTCATTAAACTTTAACACCTTCTCTAGGGTGCCAGTGGATGTGACACTGCTTTTTGCTTGACTTGCCCTTGTCTTGTCCTGGAAGTGTCTGAGGCTGGGTTGGAAAGGGCTTGGAGCACCCTGGGATAGTGGAAGGTGTCCCTGCCCATGGCAAGGGGTCCTACTGGAACCTTTAATTTCCTTTCCAATCCAAACCAGACTGTGATCCTAGGATAAAGAAAGGCAAGGACAGACTTTTCCATGAGCAAAATATTTTGTTTTTGAAGTTCCAGGATGTCACCTGGACTTCAGGTTTAAATAACACCCTGCCACTTTCATTGTGCACCTGCCAGCCTGCCTCAGCTTGTCAGTGCCATTTAACAGAGGAGCTGCTCATTCTCATGTGCTCAGGCTGTCTGGAAAGATTTTGCTGTCAGAACTGAGAAAGCCATTAAAAAATAATCACATCCTTACTCTGAGCAGAAAGGACTGTGCCAAGAGAATCCTCTATCAGAGACCAGCAGTGTTGCCTGAACACAGGAGAGCAGTTTCGTGGTAAAATTTGTTTTGGAGATTTGGCTTAAGCCAAAGACCTCTAACTAATCTAAACTGTCTCCAGTGAGGGAGTTTGAGTATGGCCAGACTGCTTTGCAGTTGAAGATATCCCCAGGCAAACAGAGGGTGTGCCAGATAAATAGAAAGAATAAACTGCACAGGCTGAAGTGATCTTGAGAGCACTGACCCTCTTCCCAGTGTAGCTGGAGAGACTTGAAGGAATTGCTGAGAACAAGGGAATCAGGAGCCCACCATAGCAGGAAACCTACATTAGGGAGAATATTTAACTCACAGAACAACTTTCCTGGGGGGTGGTGAGATTTCAGCCACCAGCACTCAGACTCCTTGAATGGAATTCTTTCTGGAATGTTCTGGCCTGGAATGGTTGGATGCAGTGTTCACCAGCCAGAGCTCTTCCCTAGTCCTGGGCTTATGCTTGGAAAAAATAAATATTTTTTTTAATGGTGCCACTTCAGAGAGCAGCTGTCCTCCTTCAAACTGCACAGTGGCCTTTAAACCCCCCCAAATAAATAATTTTTCCTTCAGACTGAGGTTAACACCTCACCCGAGGCCCATGGCGCAGCAGAGTGGCGATAGCGCCTTTGTGGGTGTCACTGCTTGGCTCGAGCAGCTTCCTGTGGGGTGAGGTTAGCATGGAAATAATACAGTTAGCTAGTGCCTGTGACTGTGATCTTCACACTCAAAAACACTACAGACACCTGTGATTTTCAGTCAGAGGTGCTTTGAGAAAAACAGACATTTAGAAGAGGCAAAAAAGCAAATGTACAGTACCAAAAATGTGTCGGGCAGCTGTATTGTCCTATCACTTTTCCTTCAAAAAAACGGGAAAATTACCAGTGGCCACAATTAGCCAAGGCTGGGATTTTCCACTGCTTCCAGCTGTTAATTCTAGTCTCATAGGATGCAAGGAGCCAGCACTGCTTCATTCCCAGTGAAATAAATGGTACTGGGAGCTGGATCCATGTGCTCTGTCACATCAGTGCTGCTGTTGCGGGGAGCTTGGAGGTTTACAGCAGCTGATTGTAGCAAAGAGTACATACACTAAGTATCTAATCAGTTTTCTACCTCAAGGGACGGTTTTCCAGCAGGAAGGAGCTGCTGGTGGGGCTGATTTCTCCCCATCTCACTGTCAGATGAACAGAACCATGCAGTGGGTTTTGGGAGCTGCTGGAAAAAGCAGGCAGTGGCAAATACCATGGGAAAAAGGATATTTTTCACTGTAAGCAGCAGCCTTGACTTTCATCTTCCTCATTACCAGTCTTCAGAGTGCTCCATCCATGTGCTGGCCTGCCTCTTGACCCAAGAAACATCCTTAGGAGGCATTTCAGCTGGAAATTCAGCTCCATGTCCTGCATGGGCAGTCAGCATGCAGAGCTGACACTGGCTGATCACTGTGAACTCTGGTTCACTGCCTGTGGCAGGAGCTGTTGGTAACACTTATCAGAGCTGCAGGACACATAGAAAACAGGGAAAAGCCCCCTTTTCCACTTGGGAAGATTTCTGAAAGTGGAAACCTTTTGTAAGTGTTTCAGATAAACATCTGAAGGATGGGATAGGCATTCCCCAGTAGACACCAATAAATGAAGGAAGGTTCCAGTGGCTTTGCAGGTTTATCTGAGACTTCAGAGGGAACTCTCATGTGCTCACCCAGTCTCTCTTTGTGGAAGCCACTGGTGTGCTGCACAGAAACCCTGTGCTGTGGACACATCTGCACAGAGGTTTTCCTTTTTGCTTAGCAGGTGAGGACCTGTGTGTTTGAGGCAGACATGAAATGACTTTCTGGCTCCTGTGGAAGCCTGTGGTGGCCTGGTCTTTCAGCTGTGAATAGGGGAGGCTCTCTGAGAAGCCACAAAACCTTCAAAATTGTCCTCAGGTCTAACCAGTGGTCTTTTTCTTTCTGCTTAGCTCGAGGTGAAGGTGGTCACTACTGAGAGAGCAAAACATTTCTACAATGCCCAGGAGATTCCTGTTACCCTCTATGGCGATGAAGAGGAGTGGCAGGTGAGTTGTTCTTGCAAACAGAACCATTCTTCTAAGTTTTCTTGCAAGAAACCACACTTAGTTATTTTTTAAACCTGGGCCAGGACTCACTCCTCGGTCTAGTAATGTATGTTTGGAAAATGGCTTTTGAGGAACGTGCTGTAAATGAGGAGGAAGAGAGAGGCTGCCCTGATACATCGCAGGATTTTGTCCTGCAGCAGGCAGGGAGGGTAACAGCAGTCTCTCTCCACCCTGCGCCCAGCTGCTCTGAGAGGAGTGTCAGGAAATGTCAAGACAGCCACTGCAGAGCCATGGTGAGCATGTTTGGTGCTTGTCATGAGTCATACTTGTCACACAGGCAGCAGCTTCATTCTGCTTAGCTCAGCTGTCAGGGCTGTGAACATCTCTGCTCCCTGTGAAATGTCTTTTTCTCCTGACTGCAGTTTTACTGACACACTTTGAGAGTCCTTGAGGAGGAAGAGATTCATTGTACAAGCATCAAGATTTGTTTTTCCGTACATTTCATCTGTGCTTTGCAGTGCTGATCTGTTCTAGATGCACTACAACACTGATCTGAGCACAAGGTGCTCTCTCCTTACCCCTATTCCTGCTCACACATGAGCATCGCTTTTAAGTGGACAGAAACACACCAATGGCAAGGGCCAGGAAACCTTCTGGCTGGTCTCAGGGATTGGTGGATCCCTAGTGGATCCCAGGGTGCTACAGTCTCAGGCAGCTATTTCTGAGGAACCCTCAGTGGGGTGATAGAAGAGGTGCAGGTCTGGCTTTGAGGTCTGCTGGCACACTGGAGAGAAGGTACAGTGCCCTTGTGGTGAGAAATAATCGCAGAATGGTTTGGGTTAGAAGGGACCTCAAAGGTCATCCATTTCCACTGTCGCTATTGGTTGCTCCAAGCCCCATCCAACCAGGCCTGGAGCATTTCCAGGGATGGGGCAGCCATGGTTTCCCTGGGCAACCTGTGCCAGGGCCTCACCACCCTCACAGGGAACAATTTCTTCCCTTATCCCATCTAACCCTGGCCTCTGGCAGCTGGAAGCCATTTCCCCTTGTCTTGTTGCTCCAGGCCCTTGTAAATAGCCTCTCTCCATCTTGCTGGCTCCTTCAGGCACTGGAAGGGCACAATTAGGTCATCCCAAAACCTTCTCTTCTCCAGGCTGAGCACTGCCAGTTCTCTCAGCCTTTCCTTGTGGGAGAGGTGCTCCATCCCTGTGATCAGCTTGACAGCCTCCTCTGGGCTCATTGTGACAGCCTGCTCAGCATCTCTTTGTGAGATACTTCACTCTGGTAATAAAATGACAAGAAAGAATAGAAGTGAGTGGAGGAGGTGGGAAAGGTGCTCAGGAAGCCCCAGCTTTTCGGATACTGCCTTTTTGTTGTGGCTTCCCATGACTCAGAGAAGGAGCAGTTTGTGGCCCTGACGCAGCCCATGCTGGCCTGTGGTTGGATGTCCTCTGGGGAATAAGCACCTGATGCTGTTTGCTGCTTCTCAGGACTCTTTCCTGGTTAACTGAGCTCTTAAAACCAGGGTTCTCTTGGGCAATTTGGGGCTTTAGTGAAAGCAGAAATATGCACTCAAGAGTGAGTGTGTCAAGGAGAAGCTGTGGCTGCCCCATCCCTGGAAGTGGATGGGCCTTGGAGCAACTTGGTCAAGTGGAAGGTGTCCCTGCCCATGGGACAAGGTGAGCTTTAAGGTCCCTCCCAACCCAGACCATTCAGTGAGTCAAAGAGCCAAGAGAGGGGGGAAGTGCCAAACTGGATAATCCTTATCCATCACAGAGAAAGCCAACAGGACACTGTTCCTGCAGTACTTAGGAGGGTTACCTTTGCTGCTGTGAGAGTAAGTAGGGTTGTGCATCCTAATTAAAAGTGATTTGTTCAGTTAGGGGTCTGTACCTCATGAGAAGCCAGTGGGCAGCTTCACTTCACTGAAGCTTATAAATCACATGGGCTCCCCAGGAAATGTACCCCTGGTTTGGGCCTGCCTGGCTCAGCTGGCTGGAGGATGGAACTCTTAGGAATCGTTCCAAAGGGATGCTGTGAGTGGGGACAGCTCTTGGCTATGAATTGAAATCTGTGGTTATCAGATGTGTGAATTGTCTTGTGGGGAAAGGATGCTACCATCCCTTAAATTCCATAAGCATAATTCCACAGGAATTCCATAAGGAGTTGTGTTTCCTGAGGTAGGATTGATAAGGTGTGTGAAGATTTGGTGCTCCCCACCTGGTTTCCCCCACAGCTGTGGAAGGGCCGCTCAGACCCCGTCCTGCACATTGAGCTCCGGCGCTGGGCTGACCTCATGGTGGTGGCACCTCTGGACGCCAACACGCTGGCAAAGGTCGCCAATGGCATCTGTGACAACCTGCTGGTGAGTACCCAGGCTCTGCCTGCCACTGCTGCCACCCCTGAGGACTGCCTGGCCTTGCCCCCATGGAATCTTGGTGCTTCTGCAGCATCACCAGCAGTGAGATTTGCACATTCTGTTCCCGCTTCATCTGCTTGCCTCTCTCTTCCCCAGCAGCGTTCCCCTACTCCTTCTCTTTCCTTCCCTGACCTAATCCCTTCCCACTCCTCGGCTCTGTCAGTCTCTCATGTTATTTTCTGGTCCCTGTTTCGTGTCTTCCCTGCTTTTTCTGGAGGGTGGCATTTCCTTCTGTCTCTGTCCTCTCTGTCACTTGTACACACAAACACATGCTCACTCACTTTTGAGTTCCTCTACATTTTTTTCCATGCAATCTGGAAAGACACCTGTGAGATCAGATAAAACTGTTTACTTCCTGCTACTTCACCACCTCCCTCACCTAGCATAGCACAGACTTTCAAACATGCTCATGCCCACTTACCTCCCTCTCTCAGCTACGGAGGCTTTTGCTTGTTCAGGCTTGTTTTTTAGTATTTAAAGTGCTCTTGAGGCTCTTCAGCCTAATCAGAAAGTGTATTTAAAGGGAGTGTGCTTCGTTGTTGGGTGCTGGGGACCTTCAATGGGGCTGAATATTTTGTGGCCAGGCATTAACCACACAGAAGATCTCAGGAAGCTGCAGATCTGTGTGACCTACAGCCTTTTGGTTAAGAAATATATATATGTATCTGAACATACAAACGAACAAAATCCACCCAGAGAAGGTCACTGGGGATCTGAGAGAAGCCAGGAAGAAGGGAAGGACAAGCAATGTCTTGGCCTTCTGGGTCCCTTGTGGATGGTGGTTTAGCAGAGGGAATAGCTCAGGAAGAATGTCAGGGATGTGTGGCTTCACACTCTCCTGCCAGTCTTCGAGAGCCTTGTGAAGGGAAGAGGCAGCTCCAGGAAAGGAAAGTGAGTGCTGGAGGTGCTGGTTGGCAGTTGAGAGCAGATTCCGTCAGATTTCCTTGTGCTGGGAGGGGTTCAAGTCACAGGGTATAAAAAATGATGGGCAGGGTTCCTGTAAGGACTCTGTGATCTGAGCTGCTCCCTTGGGAACTCCTTTGTTTGAAATGCTGCAAGGCCTGGGGAATCTGATGGACATTGCACTGACAACCAGCATTTATCTTTCCAAGGGGATGAGGTAATCCTGTAAGTGCTGAGGAGTCAAATTTGATTGCCTGTAGCACACAGGAGCTGCCAGATGCTTTGTAACCTGCCAGCATCTCCTGCAGCAGCTCAGATGCACTCATGTTCTCCTTTGTTGTATCCTGGAAGCAGCACTGCTTCCCTTGTGGGGAGTTATGGATCCAGCTGGCATATCATGTCAGAAAGACTCACTGCCAACTTTCAGTGTTCAGCTTTGCAACTGGCTTATCTGAAGTGTTGCCCTGGGGGTTTCTCTGGAGCTGATAAGATCTGTGGCCACCTCTCAGCTTCTCTATCTCTCACACAGCCTGTACACCTCCTGTTCCAGAGCTGCTGGCTGTAGCAGGGTGGGATTTATCCTCTGGGTAGCCTCCCTCTTCTTTCCTGCCTGTCAGAGATGAACTTGGCTGGAATGTGCTACAAATTAGTCTCAGCCCATGGGTTAGTCCAGCTGCACTGAGAACAACAGCCAGGCTGGAAAGGTGCAGCAAAGGGATGGGAAGGAGTGAGGAAATCCAAGCCCTCTCTTGGCTTCTCCCGCAGACTTGTGTCATCCGCGCGTGGGACCTGAGCAAACCCCTGCTCTTCTGCCCAGCCATGAATACGGCCATGTGGGAGCATCCCATCACAGCTCGGCAGGTGGAGCAGCTGAAGGGCTTTGGTTACACGGAGATCCCCTGTGTGGTGAAGAAACTGGTGTGTGGAGATGAAGGTCAGTCCTTTCCCATGGCTCCTGCCCCTTTCCCTCCCTCATCCTGGAGGGATGTGCTGCCTTTTGCTGCGTGGCCACAGAGATGTTGAACTGCCATGGCTTGTACAAACAAGTTGGAGCTTTGCCCTGTGTTATCCCTCATCATTAATTTTTAAGTAGCCTTAAGAGCATTCAGCTGAGCCTGATATTGAACAGAAATGCTCATTTAGGAAGAGAGGAGATCAAAGAGAAGGAAGGTTCTTGTGGCAAGAGTTATCAGCCTGGGATTTGGGTGTCCTGACTTTGCACTCTGCTTGGACTGAGGGCTGTTTTCATCATGCCTCAGTTCCTCAGCTCCATCATTGGGATTAAATCTCATCCCTGAGAGCAGACAGTGAGAAAACCCCTTTGCAGATGCAGCTGGGGATGTAGCTGGACACACATTTAACATTTGTTGCTGTTGTTGCCTGGGTTACCTTTTAGCTTCCCAAACAAGTTCTGGTGTGGGGTTTTGACACCGGAGTTCTGTGAAGTGAAAGAGGGGTGTGGAGGAAGTTCAGATTCAATAAATTTAGCTTGCTGTGCTAAGAAATAATGGTCTCCTATGAGTTTTAGTAGCTGCTTTAAATTGAGGTATTTTGACTTTTGGGAAGGTTTTGATACAAACCATTTGGATGAATGGGTTTGCTTTTTTTATTACCATTTTATTGGGCAAATCTCTGTAAAACATCCCCCAGTTCCAGCCACAGCAGCTATTACCTACAGAGTATTATGCACCTACTTCTGTGTAGCAGTCCCAGCTCCAGCAGGATTATAACCATCCTGTCAGTCCAATAAACAGTTTGTGACAGAGACAGGCTGTTAAAATGTCCCTTGTGGTTAAATTCTAGGCCTAGATTGATTTTGGAATCCTAGGTGCAATGCCTCTAGAGATTTGTATTTTCAGAACTGAAAACCAAGTAATATTTACAATTAGGTTAGTGTAGTCAAGGAACTCAGACATCAGTTGAAATATCCTGGGTGATTAGCCTTCCACTGGGATTTTAGATATGATTGCATCAAATTTCTTCATATCCAGCTCAGCTGTCTCAGCTGTGAAATTCCTGAAGGAGCTTGGAGGAGAGGGATGCAGGGATGGCAGGAGCAGCCACATTTGACTGGACTTCACTTGTGCTCATGAGTCAATTCCCAGCAAGATCTTCCTGATGGCAAACACCAGGACTTTTCATGGCAGCTTGTAGGGAGGTTATGGGAGGGCACTAATGGATTCCATCTCTCTGAAGACCCAAACTCGTCTCCACAACTGACTTTTTTTCACCCCTTCCCCTTTTCTCAGGCCTTTCACCCCACAGTCTCTTCCTCACTCATTTTGGGTTTGTGGCTTCCATCCACGCAGGGCTTTCCCTGGTTTCCACACAAGCAGCACGTAGCAAAGCTCACATCTGGTGCAGGAGAGATTCAGTTTGCACCAGTTTTGTCTGCTGACATTGTGGTTTGGTTTGCTCTAGGAGGTTTCTCTTCCTCACCCCATGTGGTTGGGTCTCACCTAAAATGCATCAGATCCTCACTGGCCCCAAGTTTTACCTGATGAATTCTTCTCCCTTAGTAAAGGGTGGGTTTAGACAGAAAGTCCAGCTAAAAGAGTTAGAACACCAAACTGAGCTTCTTGATTAGATAGTTTCCATACCTTCATCATCCTTGACTGGATATCTAGAGCCTTGCACACTGGCAGATTTCCACCTGTAGGCATGAGCTGTTCTGTAAGAGTATGCTTTGCTGAACCTAAAAATCCAGCACTGAATTGCCAGAGGTGCTGGAGTAGTGGGTGCTGGAGGAAGAAGTCAGGCCTTAGAAGTGTTCTGGAAAGGTGTAGCTCTGCAAAACCATGCAGAGGGAGTGTCTCTTGTCAGGTGCAGCTCTTCTCCGTGAGCTTAGGAGAGCAGAAGGGTCCAAATCTGCCTGCAGCTTTTCCACAGGGTGCTCCAGACCTCCTGGGATTGACAGGTCTGAAAAAGAGGAAAACGACACCTCCCAGAACTAACTTTTGCTGAGCAGTAAATTACGAGACCAATTAAGCAGCAGGACAAAATATCAAGAGAGACTCCTTTTCAGTCTTTCGAAAGAGACAAATACCTGTGGGAGAAGCATCTTTCCTCAGCTCCAGGCAAATTAGAAGAGTGAATGGCCTCAGTTCCCAGAGCTGAGTTCAGCACACAAGGTTAGACAAGGTGATTTAATCATCTCAGTCTTTAATATTCTGAGCCTGAGTTAAAAACTGTTTCAAAGGTGTTATAGATACATATTATATTATTGGCTTTTCACAAATATTAAAAAGAATGTTATATGTATAAGGTTAGAAAACTTTGTTGTATTAATACAGTTCCTTCTAGTTCTGTTATTGATGAAAATTAGAAATAGTGGTATAATACATATATATGTTGAGCTATGGCATAGTATTAAAACAAAAACTGTTCTTGTTCGTATAACCCAAAGACTGAAAAAGATAGTTAGAGACTCCCCTGCATTCTCAGATTATCTTATCCAGATGAAGACAGCAGTGACCAGAGCTCTGGGGGAGGAATTTATTGCATTTCTGTTATCAGGGAATGTGAAACTCCTCGGTGGAGACAAGAAGATTGATTTACTGGGGAGGGGGCGATTTAAAACTAAACAAAAGAACATCTAAAACTTGGGAGGAATGTTTGAATTATGTATGGAAATTTATGAATATGTAGTAGGGTTCTGTTTTTAAAGGACAATCCTTTGTTAGTAAGGTGTGCCCTTAGCTGAATGCTGAGGCACATGGCCCTATTTGTATATTTTACTTCATTTCTATCTCCTAATTGTCTTTCTATTAAGTGTTTTAAATTTTATATGAAAAATATGTGAACCTCGTTTTTCACAATAGAGAAGCAGCAGCACAGCATAGATTAGATGTTCATCTTGCAGAGAACCAGGCCCAAAGGAAAAGCCTTTCCATTTTGTTCTGTCCAACACTCTGCCTTCTCCAAGAGTTGCTCCCAAGATTCAGGCTGGTGGGAATCCACAACAGCTTTCTCTAATGGAGGTCTTTTCTCTCAGGCAGAGTCATGGGAATGGTATGGATTTGTCAAACCTTTTGTATAGGCAGAGACCATTTCACAAATGTTGAATTTGGGCTGGTCAATCAATAAGTAATTTATGAATTTGTTGATAAGGGACGAGCAAGCAGCACTGGGGACGCTCAACCAACACATCTGCCTTACCCGTGGTCCCTGCCTCTTTTATAGGCAGTTTCTTGTTGGGCTGTGCCTTCTGTGCTGGGGTCCAAGTCCAGGCAAGCCCAAACACGTTGGCTATCTCCCCAGCAGCAGTGGCTGCAAACCCCCACAGGGTCTGGACAAAGCTCCAACATGTGGCCAGGTTACACTCTTAGCAAGCAGGTAACAGCAGTAACAAGTTTTTACATCTCCACACAAGCCCGCTGTTTTCTTTATACATAAAGAGTGGATACAATTCAGAATTATTTGCTAAGCAATTCCATAGTGGCAAAAATACATAACAGCAAAAGCTAGCAATTCACAGCAAAGGGATTTAAACAAAAATAATGAAATCATTGTATTTTCCTTTGTCTCTTGTCCATGCTTTACTTTAAGCTCAATATTGTTTATGCTGCTTCCATGGTGTGTTTCCATAATGACACAAATCACTATGTAACATCTCACACAAAGATAGTGGAAAACACAATTTTAGATTTATATATACCCCGGAGAAAGGAGGTGAGATGGGGAATTTTGCTCCACACACATTTTTTAAGGTTGCCCACACCCTGGATTTCACAATTTGGTTTTGCTCTTGCCCTGCAGGCCGAGGTGCCATGGCAGAAGTGTGGACCATCGTGGAAAGAGTTAAAAGGATTCTTGAAGAATGGGATGTGCCAAGGCAGAGCTGATGTTTTGGCATGTAAATGGTGGTTTTGTGCCTTGTGATGGTTTGGAGATAAAGACAGCAGGAAGCTGGGCTCAGCTGCCCTGGTACCTGTTGCATGCATACCTTTAGCTGCTCTTCAACAGAAGGAGCCAACGGTTGTCTTCCAGCTGGTTCCAAACTGAAATGTGGTACCTCACCACAGACTTCCAAAAAACAGAGCCAAGAATGTGCTGCTTTAGTGTGGAAAACCCTGTGGTATCTTGGGCATAACGATCCCTTCCCGAGGCTGCTCAGCCCCCAGTGCTTTGCACCTGCTCTGTTCTGGGCAGACTGCAGAAGCTGTTGGAGCTCCAGTGGTTCTAGAGAGGAACAGGCCCTGCAAATTCTGGTGCAGGGTAATTCCAGCCCCTCTTAGCAAGTGTCTAGCAAGACCATTCCTGCTGTCCAAAGTCTGGTCCATAGCTGTGCTGGCTGCATGTTCCCAGCAGGAGTCACTATCTAAAAAGCATTTTCCCTCTGGGAACTTAATAAAAAAAGGAGGTTTTAATCCTGTCCCTGATGAGTTGCCTCTTGTAACTGCTTTGGGAGGGGTTCCGAGTCAATATCTTTTCTAAGTTGTTGTGTCTGCTTATGTTTTTTTTTTTGTCAGATACGGAGGAAAAACGACTGAAAAGGAGTCCTTTTGCCCTTTTGTAGCTGTTGTCTGGAGAGGGATGCAGGTATCAGCCTCATTCCAAAGTGCTTCCTGCCCATGTGGGTGCCAGAGTCAGGAAACAAGCAGGCCAGGCCCTCATGGAAAGCCAAGGGTGGGTGTTTCCCATGGGAATCAAGTTAAACTTCATCTCTGATGACCTTTTCAGCTTGAAAGTTAATTGCCTGGCATGAATAAATTGGGAAATCCTGTGCCCTTGTGGGCCAGACCAGGCTGGGCTTCCCCCAGTCCAGCCTTTCCTTGGGAACATGGAAAGGGAACTTGCTCCTGGAGGGATTGGGAGCTGTGGAACATGCTGCTCTAGCAGAGCACTGCTTACCTATGGAGTTCATTTTTGACTAAACCCAAACAAATTTGAGGCCCTGGGTACAGCATATGCACCCTGTCTGTGGGGGAGACC